GATTAAACCCGCCCTGACTCTCTCCTAAGGCAACTGTGTCCTCATTACAAAGCCGGCTTAGGCTTGCACTTATTGGCTACAAAAACCGCATACAGCACGTACTGAGGGCTTAGCTAGAAATTGGCAGGTCGACCGTCGTTGAGGATAGGGTTGCATAGAGATGGTTGCGCTCTGATTGGCTGTGGATTACGTCATATGTTGTGATAGTCATCCAGAGTGAGTTGTTCAGTTAATAATGAGGCACAAATTTTCAAAATAGGCACTGCGTGATTCGCTGATTTTTACATGACGGGGAAAATAAAACGCATTTGCTCATACTCATTATTCTAAGACAAAAATTCGCCACCGCGAATGCGCCTACAGGTGCTTGAAATATTTTGGTTAAACACGTGTTTCCTTGAACTGGTGCAGTTGTTGATACAGTCCGATCACCCTAATTCGATTACAAAACCTATTTTTCAGTACACCCTGCCAAGGAACCAGCCTTTATTTATCATTTAGTGGGGGAGGGGGGCAGAATTTACCTTATCCGATTAGGCTCTGAAAAATTCTAATGATCTTGCCCCCTCTCATTGGCAGTTTATTGGAAGTCAATTTTCTTTAGTCCCTCAGTTATAATCGTTGAGTGAAGACAGATCCCTCTCCGTTTCCCCTGAATACCGCGTGATCCTCTGCCCCCCTAGGCAATAAGCAATAACCAGTTCTTTATTATTGTCCTTTGAGATTAGCAGTCAGTGCGTGAGAAAAGCATTTACATAAGTTTGCAATATATTAAAACAACGTACACTCTTCTGGGGATTTTGGATTTTGGTGGGTTTGTAAAAGTCAGAGAACAAGGCCTGACTGACCACACAAAGGACAAGTAAATCAGTGTTTATATATCCTGGTTTAAGTGTTTTTTTGAAGGTATCATACTAAATAATTGGAGGGTAAACACATGACGAAGGACTAAATTTACCATAATTTTGAGTTTTATCAATGGTCAAACTTTACTTTGTTCAAGCAATGTGGTTTCCCATAGATATCATTTCCATTTAAGGAGAATTATTTGTAATCAATCCTTCTTTCGTTTACGATATATATGATGAATTCTGAAGCAAAATAGCAAAGAAATTCAAAGTGATTCTCTCTGTCATCTTCCCCGATTTTTATGCCTTCAATATTCTCATTTGTTCTTATAGATATCGCCATAATTTCAATGGCAATTAGAAATAAATAAGGCGAAAGAGGGTCTCCCTGCCTAACACCCCTTTCTAGTTGAAAAAGAGAAGAGAAAAATCCATTATTAAGAACACAACTTGAGAGGTTATTGTAAAACGTTTGAATCCACTTTATGAAGGAGGGTCCAAAATTAAAACACTCTAATGCTTTATAAAGAAATTCATGTTCTATGGAGTCAAAAGCTTTTTCAAAATCAATAAACAGTAAAACACCTGGTAACTGTAGTGATCCAGTATGAGCGATAATGTCTAAGATTGAACGAGTTGTTTCTCCAATAAACCTACCCTTCATAAAACCGGATTGATTTGCATGGATTACAGAGGGAAGAACATTTTTTATTCTATTTGCAATGACCTTAGTTGCGATTTTTGAGTCGACATTTATCAACGAGATTGGTCTGCAATTTTCCAAAAACATCCTGTCCCTTCCTTTTTTGTCGATCAAGGTGATGATCGCCTGAAAAACTATGAACAATTGACAGATTCAAATTGATCATGTTGTTTCAAAGGAATCCTGATTTGTTTTCATTCGAAGTGAATTTCTTGTTTCTTTTGATTAACCAAAAGATTTTGGGTTACTTTTATCTTACTACTCCAAAGTGACGCGACCGAAGAACCTGAGGCGTCCTTTACAGTGCAAAAAGCACAGAAAACAACTTCCGCAGTTATGAGATTTCTGGTTCAGTGATGCTTCATCCTTCTGCCTTTAGACCTATTCCTTTCAAACAGTAATTTCTGGAACATTTGCAATTTTAAAAAGGTATACTTTCGAGCTAGTAGACGGACATTTTTAAAGTCCTTCGCATTTTTTAATATCTCAACATAAAATCGTTCACCCTTCAAATATGCGTAGTTACAGCATCTTACTCGACTTCACCTCATTAAATTTTCTCAGTCTCTTTACAATAGCATAGACATCGATCAGTTTGAGTCAATTTGGCAAACTTCAGCTCATCTTTTAGATGACATCTCACTGAAGTCTTTGTCATAAAAATGTGTCGAAATTATTCCACCTTCACATACAGTATAACTATAGCTTATTTTATGACACTCTAACAATCAACTTGGTAAGAAATTAACTATCTGGAGGCAGCGTGGTCGCACTGATAGGGAACTGGGTCTATTTCCCCTCATCCTGCTTTTCACCGGAAAAGATCTTGGTTGAGGTGAGTTCTGCTCGTCAACTGCGCCCTGTAAAACGCCTTTTAGTATAAATTCAAACAGTTCGATTTTTCTTATGTACGTGAACACCCAATCGGTCGTGAAAATCGCTGAGGGTTTGATATCGATCAACAATGACGACCAACAGGCTGAAAATGGAGACAGGTACAACGAAAAGATATACCAATTGCCACGTTAGACACA